TCTGGTCTCCAGACTCTCTGGGTTGCTGGCTGTCCCTCTTGGCTGACTTCCACATGCTTCTGGGGAAACAGGGCAAGTGTGGCTGCTCTTCATCTCTGTATCCAAGAAGACTTGTGCTTTCACATGGCTACCTCTGTTCCTGAAATCCCTTTACTCTTGTATCTTCTTTGTTACCATACTTCAGCAGCAACTATTCCATACTCAGTTTCCCAAAAACTCATCAGAGGATTCCATTACCCACACACTCCTCCATCCACTACCAATCCAGGTTATGAGTTTTCTTTCTTTTAGTGACTCTCACCAGCATCTAAGCTCCTCTTCATAGTCTATTTCCTCTAGGCTTGGGTGGGCTTTCTACTCTATTGCTTATGGCAACATTTTATGCCCTGATTCCTTTAAGGATTAGTCTTAAGATACATGGAGAACTTTTTTTCTTCCCTCTCAAAACCCCATAGTGAAATTCAAGATCAATGCTGCTATCAGTTTCAAGAGTCTATTTTGGTACCTAAAAAGCAAGGTCATGACTCTTTTTTGTTCCCTCTGTATTTGACTGAGATCTCCTGAGGCAAGGTATGTTTATGAGTAAATAGCATCATCTATGGTAGTGGTGGTGATTACAGAAGGGGTAGGGAACCAAAGTTAATATCTCAAGATTTTATCAAACTACCTATGGCTGACTAAGTAGATGGGATAACTGTCATTATATGGAAGGAATGTGCAGAAATATTAATTCTCATAAACTGTTGTTGGGAGTGTACGTTGGTAGAAACTTACCAGAGGGCAAACTCGCAACATATTTCAAAATTACATATATATATACTTTGCATCCAATGATCACTACTTCTAGGAATTGTCCTTAAACAAGTGTAAAAATGTTTGAACATGTATATAAAGAAATATTGGTTGCTTTACCAATTATAATAGAAAATTAGAAAATGCTCAAATACCCAGCCACAAGGGATTTTGTTAATTACTATGACATATTTAAGCAATGGAATACTATGCAGTTAACAAAAGTGATTATGTGTCTACTGACATTGAAAAATGTCCATAATAAACTTAAGTGAAAAATGAGATAACAAAGTATCATATATATGATTCCTTTTTTCCAAAGAATGTATTTGTATATATGTATGTGAGTTCAGTGAGAGTTGATGTAAAAACAACCCAAAAAGGTATGTCAAAAGAACAGGATCTAAATGATAGTAGCTATTAGAAGGAAATGAACTAAGTGATTATATTTAAACCTATTAAATGTGTTGAGATTATTTCATAAACATGGATATATAATTTTTATGCATATCATGCATGTAGCTTGTTTCAAATTTAGTGTTATGAAACTGTCTTAGACACTTTGGCTCCTGTGTTAATTTTGCCACCATAACTGTTTTACTATTAAAGGTATGCCCAGAAATCTACAATTAAATGCTGCTATGGCTTCTCAGAAGATTACTGCATTGATTATATTTTGCCAATACATAGATATGTCTTCTGCCCAAAGGAAGACAGACTAAGAATGTAATTTTGCTTGGGCTGACAGGCCAACTCACTCGATGTTTCATTTTTGTTGTATTGATCACGTCTTGTTGGAAAAATTCATGTCCTATAACTAATTAAACCATGACATGTCTCCACTGCTTCTGAGGAATACCCCAGTGATGTATCTAGGAACTGACATTTCTTTAATCAGCAAAATATGCGTTACACTTTTTTGGGCACTACCTGGTAGAAAGCTATCTGTATGAGTGAGCAGAGTTCTCAAATGCAAATGGCTCCAGAACCAGACAGATAATATTAGTTGTGTGATCTGGGCTGTATATAAGACATTAGGGAGTGATGGAGCCTTGGGTGAAAGTGAAGTCAGGTTGTCCATAAACTCATACAGAATTTTAGAAACACTGTGCAAGCCAAACAAAATGCATTTTGTTCCTCATTTCAAACTTCTAGTCACCCAGGCAAAATATTTTAGTAGGTTAAGTTTCTATCATAAATTTTAGAGTACTAACAGATCTTGGTGATGTTCTAGTACACACTGGTGCAGTTGCCCCTGTTTTCGTAGCTGGTGACAAGCAGTCTGATTGGCTGTCCCGTTCCCCTAATTGCTAACAAATATGGGTTTAGGGGTTGAGTGTCTTAGCGATCACATGGGTAGTAAGGGATGGAACTGGGACTTGAAATCAAAATTTCATGTACTTCCTCCCTTTGTCTACTCTTGGCAGCATGGTCCCATCTCTTAACTGCTCCTCTGGCACTGTTTTTGTCCTATCCTAGAGGAAGCCTGTGGCCTACTCTGTATGTAAATCAGCTTAGTGTGGGAGACTGAGAACTGAGAGCTAGGAATTTGAAGACTTAGGTTCTTGACTGGGTCTGTAACTGACTTGTCAAGTAGTTGGAGGTCAGATCACCCAACTGTGGGCACATGAGATGTCAGAGGGTGACCCTGGGCCCAAACCCAGCTCTCCAGGCTCCAAGATCAGTGCTCTTCTATCAAAGTCAGGGTTGTCTTCTTTTAAACATGGTGCCATGTTTCCTTAACAGGTCCAGGTAATGTTTGAAAACAGAGTGCCTTACAAGCACTAACAAATGATCCTTTTCCCTACCATCTCTTTTTATAGAGTGCAGAGTGCATGGAAGCCAACATGGGCCTAACTGTGCTCTGCTATGTTTACGGTGGCACAGGGCTGTGAATGCCACATTTGCCTCAGCTGTTAATGCGTGTCTTCATGCCAGGATTATAATAGACTGCCCTTCCTTACAAAGCTTGGGGAAAAACAGGCACTCTTTTGTTTTAGCATTTGTTATTTGTGCTCTGTGGTTAAACATTGTGTGTTATGCCCACAAAAACCTATAGTTCCTGTTCAAGGAAAGGAGTCATGAGTAGTTTTCCCCCTCCTCCTAATTTTTTTTTTTTTTTTTTTTGAGAACCGGTTGGTATTTTAAGAGCTAGGTTCCGGGAAGAAAAAGAAATGATAGCTATAGAGCATGGGCAAAAGTCTGAAAATGCGTGAGCCCAGTCTGGTGAGGAGGGTTGTTGGCCCATGTGGAGGGAACACAGTGGGAATTTAAACTGAACTGAAAAAACTGTCCCTTTTCTGCCTGGAGATGTTAAGACAGTTTAGGGGGGGAAAAATCCTAAGTAAATAGAATTTCAGCCAATACTTTCATGAACTTCACCCTTCTTTGGAATGTTTTTATTCTCTGGGGGGGAAACAGAGATTGAGTCATTTATACAGCGAGTGAGAACTTTACTAAAAAGGAAACCTCAGGAGATGTTTGCCCTTTGGTGCTTTCTTAAGACCCAATTTATGAGCTCTGCAACATTGTCAGAAAAATGCTCGCTTCTGAGCTTGTTTTTCTAGCTTTCCTTCATTATATGGGACAGTAAATTTTCATGACTGTTTAGGAGGATTCCCTGACATGGTTATCTGATGTAAAGTCTGATTTTCCCACTTAACAACATTGTTTTTTCATGTCTGTTCTCCACCCCACCCCCTCACCTTAACTCTCTAAATTTCACACATAGCACTATTACTTTATAAATCTTTTTCTTTGATTCTACAGACTGATTGCTAAATGCATGGTATCATTCTTGGATCCAGAGACATGTAATCTCTGGGTTCCTTGGGTTCCTAAATGCAGGCTGTGATTTTGGTGTTGGACAGCAGAAGGAGATGTTGAGCCAGAAGATAAGGGTGTTTTTGTATGTGTTGTGTTGTGTGTGTGTGTTTTTTTTTTTTTTAACTTCGCATATAAACAATTAGTGTTGAATTTTCAAATAATTAGAAAGCTAAGGGCTAAAACAGTTGTTTTTGTGTAGTCAACGTTGCCTTCTTTTTACAACATAAAGATATTTTAATAAATGTTTTCTACCTACGATGAGCCTTTGGGGAACCATTTCATTGTGCTGTAAGCCAAAACATCCATTTTTTTGCCTCTCACTCCCCATTTTCTCCAGGGGCCTCATTTTGTATATACAAGTGGTGGCCCAGTGTATTCATGGCTGGCTTTGGCACTCATCTTGAGGGAGCATCTGCCACGTGGCTCTCTGGTTATGGTTGAAAGTTCTGGAGTCATGTCAGCTTGCCCTATGTTACTTCAAAACCTGTCATCCAAATATCCTTGGAGAGGAAATTTCCCTTCCATTAAAGGCATTATCTGTCCATTTTGAAGAGAAGAGTAAAATGCATCTTCTAAGTATGTTAAGTGACCATACAATCTTTTTCTTAAATAGCAGAGATGGATGAGTGTGAGCAGGATTAATCTACTGCTAATTAGATCTAGGGCACTGGGGTGAGTTTCCATTTAGAACAACCCTCTATCCTTGGTGTCTATATTTTCTTTCTCAGAGATTTATTCTATTGTTTGAATCAATGAATAAATTCATTGAAACAATCAATTCATTGTTGAATCAATGAATCAATTTTCACTTAAAACAGTCCATTATATTCTAATAACATTTAGTTTCATTGTCACATTTTTTAAAAAAATGTGCTTCTTGAAAGACTTGTTTTAAGCCAGATTATATGACAAATTTCTGCAAATTAATGAATTTATTTTATATATTAATGCCCTAGAATTGCTATAAGATCTCTGCAGGAGATCTTTAGTCTTTCCCTTTTTATTATTTAACAATATTTCATGCCAGACCAGTGGTTTTTAAGTCTTTGAAGCACAGACAACCTTATATACCAAATGTATCCAGATTATCTAGTTGAAGCACAGCTCAAGATGGTAATTTGGATTTTAGGTAATTTTAAATGTTCAAAATGATTCTGTTTTCATTATGTTTACACTCCTACTTCCTGGAATTTGCGAATTTGCAAATTTGCGATGGCCTTCCAATCACAAAGAACTATCCAACTTGCTTCCTGTAATGGAATCTTATGCCGTAGTCTATCTGACTGGTGATGAGCTGAATTTACCTGCAGGCCAGTCTCTTGTCAGAGTAATAGGTATGCTCCGTATACTTGTTATGATTTGTTTCCCCCTTCTCCTTCAAGAAAAGCAAAGGAAAATTTGTTTGAACAAAACAGAAGTTTTTCCAATGGCCACGTAGTTTTTGAAAAACAGCAGCTGGAGTTGGACTCAGTTGTAGAAGAAACCATAACAGGAGATTATGCCTTAATCATCAATGGCCACAGTTTGGTGAGTTTGCTTAAGGCTCTTGTTCTTTCTTTTCCTTTATTCCAATAATTGTCTCTTTTGTGCTGTCGTAATGAGATCTCCTTTTGTGTTTTCCAAACAAATGACACTACTAGAAACGAGGGTATACACGATGATTTCCTGTTTGCAAGGGGAAAGGAAGTTTCTGATACATATTTCATACATTATTGCTTGAACCACCGCAGTGAAAGGGAGGTTCCAAAGAAATACTGTATTCACAGAATATCCATCTTATGTGAGTGACTGTAAACCATTAGCAGTATTGTTTAAGTGCTTTTCTAAGGAGAGTGTCACAGCTCACTGTTATTTAATTAAAATAACGCAACTGTTGGATGTATTGCAATTACTGTTTTGCTGATGTTTGTGATTTGGCAGAGCACAACCTGATCTTCATATAATTACCACACCAAATTACTGCCATTAAGATACCTCTGGTGGTTTTTCTAAATAGCAGTATTTTACAGCAATGCCAAACAATTTGCTTTGATTAGGAAATCTGGTTCTTGTCGTAATAGAATAAACTTGCATTGTGCTTTTAATGTAGTTCAGGTTCCAAATCTTGAACAAATATCAAAACACTCCTCTGAGTTTCTAATTTAGAAGACAAAAGCTCTGATTGCACTCCAGTGAAATTATCATTTATATGCCCAAAGAGCTAATCTCACATCTTTCCCCAGCTTTGATGATCATTTTTCACTTTTGGAGTTTGGAAAATAAATGTATCTTCTTGTAGACAGTTTCTTAGAGGACAAAAGAAGTTGGATATGGCTATATTTTATTTTCCCCCTTGTGATCAGCTGTCTGTTAGCTTTTAGTGCTTAGAGCATTATCCAGCTGGATTCCAGACGTAATGATGTGTTGCCTTCTACACCATGGAAAGTTACAGAGCTCAGCTGCAGGCCAAGCTCAGTTGAAAGTTTGTCCAGATGACACGAACTTCTCCCTTGCACAAATGAGCAGCAACTGAAAATTATAAGCCTGTCAACTGGGGCTTGGAGCTGGTGGCCTCCAGGCTGAACTTCCCAGGGACTACACTATGGAAAGGTCCCTAATGAGTGGTGCTTTGACTTTCCCTCAGGCTCAAAGAAGCCAGTGTGTGGTGGGTTAGACTACCCAGGTGATAAAATATACTGTTCTTCCTTTGTCTCTAAATTTGTTGAAAGGAAGAGCTAAGATAGATGCTCTTCAAGAACCGTTTCAGCTTCAAAGCCTGAAGCTTATGAAACCATGAAATGTCATTTTTCATTTAAGGAGAATTGACCACATTTCTGCTGGTATGGTCAGAAGCTTTTTTCTTTTTCTTTCTTTCTTTTTTTTTTTTTTTTTAAGTAAATCATGATTCCAGTTTGCTTAAATCTTGATGCTTTGTGGAATGTAATTGGGTTCTTCCTTCTCAGAGTCTGACTCTAGGTTTTCACTTGTTGATAATAAAGAAGAAAAAGAAAGAGAAAAGGAGACCATTCTGGGCAAGAAAACCAGTTACATGCTTTCTCTTTCAGAAAGAGAAAGCTAACTCACAGATTCCCTTAGGAATCATAGGCCTTGACGTAAGAATTTTCTACATCAGAGTCATGTTTTATATTTATTCACCCATCCTTTCATTGATATCATGAACATTTATTAAGCATGCTCAAGTCAAGATGCTAGAGCTTGAGGATAAGGATGTGAATAGAACTTGGTTCTTGTTTTAGGGATTGCCATCTAGCAGGAGAGCTAATCTCCAGTGGTATGACAAATACTATATAGAGAAATGAACACAAAGCTTTGAGAGCATAGAGACAGACACATTTAGTTCCTTGTATGAAAGTCAGGGAAGAGTACATGGAGGAAGTGATGCTTTCAGGCACAGGAGCAACAAGTACCAAGGCACAGAGGCAAGAAAGACCCTGTCATGTTACAGAACCAAGCACTTTGGCATGATGGGAGTACAGAGTAAACTTAAAGATGGTGGTAGAAGCCAGAACTCAAAAGAAACATAGAGGCCAGATTGTGACAGGCTGTGAATATCTTGCTAGAGATTCATTCAGAGATACTGATGACTCAAAGTTGAGGTGGATTCCTGTTTCCTCTCAATGTGTTTACTAAATAACGTACAATGAGATGTTTTCTAGAAAACAAATCACACAGTTAACTGCAAAGGATTATGCTCTCCTTTCCAGTCATTTCTTGGCATACATAAAGGCTGTGGTTATTTGGAGAAGAGCAAGGCTGGAGTTGGTTGGGAACCCTGCCTGAGACACAGGTTGCATGCCACCCTTTTGCACAGGCTTCTCTTGGTTTCAATCACTTTGTTTTTCAAGGACTAATCTCCAGGTCATCTGCTTTTCATTTGCCCAACCATTAATAACCACAACAACAAACACTAAATATACAAAACAACAATGCAAAGGAAACAAAACTTCCATCACTTAGAACAAAGAAGTCATCATCGTTATGTAGTTCTTTCTAAACCTGGTGAGATGGTGGGTAGGCTCAGTCTTTTGCTTTTCTCTCTTTTAGTGGGTTCTGGAGATTTTCTGGCATTTGATTATATCTCACCAATGTAGCGTGATAATGTGTTAAGGAGGACGCACAAGGGCATTGTGTCTTTTTTTTTTTTTCGTTCTAAAATTCCTTGGCACTTAGTAGGAGTTTTGTACTCATCTTTAGTTAGTTGTTCATGTGATTCTGGGTCAACAATGACTTGTTGAAACTTAAACTGTTTAGAAAATATATCAGTTGAGAAACAAGACATCTCTCATTAATTATTTCTTGTTCTAATCTGGATTTTTTTTTTTAATAACATAGGCCCATGCCCTAGAAAGTGGTATCAAGGGTGATCTCCTAGAACTTGCCTGCATGTGTAAGACTGTGGTTTGCTGCCGAGTCACCCCACTCCAGAAAGCCCAAGTAGTAGAGCTGGTGAAGAAGTACAGAAATGCTGTCACTTTGGCCATAGGTGATGGAGCCAATGATGTCAGCATGATCAAAAGTAAGGGTATTATTCAGTATGGTCTGCTGTATAGTGGGAGTCCTTGGGTTCAGCATTTGGCAAGATGTAATGGAGGTTGCACTGTAATTTAATTTTCCCACTAGTTCTAAAATGAATACTTTATGGATCCAATGCATTCAGCATTACTAGCATTCATTAAAAACAACAACAACAACTTTGTCTTTAATTAAAAGAAAAAGGCTAAAACAGGATATTAATCACCTTATATTGTGTGTTTTTACACTAGAAAAGGATACTGATTTAGGCTAGAAAAGGATATTGATCACCTTATATTGTATAATAACTAGCTATGGTGTAAGGAATGAACACTGGATCCACAGTCCCAACACGTGGGTTTAATCCCAGTTTAGCCACTTACAAACTGTAAAACTTTGTGCAAATGACTGAACTTTTTGTGCCACTTTCCTCTTTTGCAACATTAAGATAAATACCTAACTAATGAGTGTTCCATGAGATAATATAGGTGAAAAAAATATAAGTGCTATATCTGTAAGATTTTTGTAGGTAAAGAATGACATAAAAGAGATTGTATCTTTGTTCAGGGAATGAAAATGTTCCTCTTTTCCTTTGTAGGTGCTCACATTGGTGTTGGCATCAGCGGTCAGGAAGGAATGCAGGCAGTCTTAGCCAGTGACTATTCATTCGCACAATTTAGATACCTCCAAAGGCTTCTCCTTGTTCATGGAAGGTGGTCCTATTTCCGAATGTGCAAATTCTTATGCTATTTTTTCTATAAGAATTTTGCATTCACACTTGTGCATTTCTGGTTTGGTTTCTTCTGCGGCTTCTCAGCCCAGGTTGGTAAAAAAAAAAAAAAAAAAAGCACTTTTCTTTCTTTTATTACATCCCCCTGAATTGCAAATGACTGTTCTTCATGGCTCTTTATTGGTAGAGAGCATTTTTGTATATGTCTAATACAAATCACAATATGACAAATAGGTAATTTATAGTTGACTTGAGGTTTAAACACAAAACAATATACATTTATCTGGAATTTTATTTATTTGTTATATATATGTATATGTAACCAATGAGTACTCCTTCTTGAGCATTTTAATTTTTATTGAAATATTTTGGTATGATCGCTCATAAACTTGATGTGGAGCTTTAATTCATAACAGAAGACTAAGAAACACTAACAAGAAATGTTGATGTATCTCTTTTGGGAAGATGGTCACTCACCCAACACATTGACTGTATGTGGGCTGAGAGCAAATAAGTTTTATATTAGGGAGAGATAATTGATACCTTGACATCAAGGCTGTTTGACAGCACTTCATCAGATAAAAATTGATAAAATAGATACTGTTTGTAACAAAGAAGAAAAATTAGCAATTGATAAATTAGGAATTAGGATTCTATTTTTCTATCTATTCATATCCATTTTATATTTTTATTATTTTTTAATGGTTATTTATGTATTTTGAGAGAGACAAAGAGAGAACACAAGCAAGGGAGGGGCCAAGATAGGGAGAGAGAATCCTAAGCAGGGTTTGGGTTGCCCATGCAGAGACCGATGCAGGGCTCCATCTTACGAACCATGTGATCATGACCCGAGCCAAAATCAAGAGTTGGGTGCTTAACCGACTGAGGCACCCATGTGCATCTACTCATATCCATTTTAAAAGATAGTTATTTAGGGGTGCCAAACAGGTGCCTATATAAATAGTGGTTTCACACATTTTTCCCTTTATCTGTGAGGTTGAGATTTCTTAAAATGAGGCAAACCTATACCCATTCCTAATGTTCTCTTTTAAGGATAATATACCCAGAACTAAAAGCAGACTATGTTAATATTTTTGTTGATATTTTTTGTAATCTCCAGACATTGAAGTAAAGCAAAATCTTGATTTTAGTTTTTCAAAAATTTAGTGCTCAGTTTTCTTAGCCTTAGTTCAGAGAAGGCTGGAGAGGGACTTACTTGCTCATAATCTCACCTTGTCCAACAAAAACAAATGTGAGAATGTGGCCTGTGCCTTCCTAGGCTGGAGACTTCTCCTCCACGTAAAAATGAAGCAAGACTATTTGCTAAGCCGTGCTTCCAAGAGATCCAGCTTTCATAGTGCAAAGGTTTGGGGGCTTTTGAAAAATCACTGAACTACGGAGGGATGCCTGTACTCTCATTTAGGCCTCTTAGGATACAGAAGAGTGGTCAGTGATTTGTGTTTATAGACACATGGAGCTTGGATAGCAAGTTTACTTGCCAGAGTTTTCTTTGTTAAACTGTGAAGTTGGAAACTAATGTTCAGTGACTTTTAACCTCTACATTTAGGTGATTTTCTGCTCTGCTTTCAAGATCTGATAAAACTTGTCAGAGTCAGACGTTAAGCAACTAGATTTTCAATCCTGTCACCAGTATTTACCTTTTGAAAGAGAACAGCAAGAGAGAACAATGATTGTTCTAAAAACCTGAGTATCTGATGATTAAAGCCAGTTGTAAGACACCCCACTGGTCTATGATTAGGTTTCTTAAATGTTTGGTTCAACTTAGCATATTTCTTGTCTGTCTTCCTTCCTTCCCTCCTTCCTTCCTTTCTTTCCCTCCCTCCCCTTCTTTCCCTCCCTCCCTTCCTCCTTTCCTTTTCTTCCTTCCTTCCTTCCTTCCTTCCTTCCTTCCTTCCTTCCTTCCTTCCTTCCACCAAAATCTCTAGTTAATTGCACAATCTTTACTTGACCATGGTCAGTCCTGACTGACCCTCTGTGTGCTTTCCTGTGCTGGTTAGTTGGGCTGGACCAGGAGCTATCAAACTTGAACATGCATGGGAATCACTTGAAGGGCTTTTAAAGCACAGCTCCTTGGGCCCCACCCAAGTTTCTGATTCAGTAGGTCTGAGGTAAAGCCCAAGAATTTGCATTTCTGACAGTTTCACTGGGAGATGCTGATGTTGCAGGTGGGGGACCATATTTTGAGAACCACAAGACTGGCCAATATAGAAGAAAGTCCAAAGGTATGTTTCCTTGAACTCAGAGCCCGGAATGAACTCCAGTCTGCTGACTTTTTGTTTAGTCCATGCTAGACTCCATTCACCTTTCCTGAGGAGGAGGGGCCAGTTTAGCAAACAACTTATCACCAAAATAGAATTTTTCCAGAGGGCTTAGAATCTCTTTACCCATCCTACAAAAGCCTTCGCCCCTGAGGTTATACATGCACTAATACAGGGTCAGGAAAAAAGGGGGGTCTGTTTCAGGTCAGAGAGTTGCTTTTCTCAGTTTACCTAGGCTATTGTGTTTTATCCAGCTTACCATAAGCTTCATGAGGAAAGGAAGCATGTCTGAATCATCTGTACCATCCATAATCTTGAATGGAACCTGGCATATAGAAGCATCTGGCCATTTCATGTTGTTGGGTGTTTCTAGAACCTTTTGTGTGCTTGAGGTAGATGCAGCAAGGAGAGTCATTCAGATATGCCTCCAGTCACTCCTTCAGGTTGCTGCTTCCTCTCCCTGAACCCAGGGCCGCCTCTGCAGGCTCTATGTCTGGTCCATGTAAATGTATACAGTCTGACCAGCATGGTGGGAGAGGGGCTTGTGTCTTAAGATCTCAGTGTGATTATGGCATTGATTTCAGAATGCAGAATGATGTTTTGTGTGTGTGTTGTATTGGGTTAATATGAAGTTAATTGGGCCACAAATGATGTATTTCTTAATTATTTGTATATTGCTTCATTATAGGAAAAGCAGTGGATTTCCAGGTTTATTTTGTTTTGCGTAGGTTTTGGTTGATTTAAATAGAGCAGGGAAAATCCTCTTTAGGCAGAGGAGCAATCACCTCATAAAACCACTTGAGCTACTGAGGAAGAATCCTGGACAGCTATCTATTTTGCCCTCATTTTTGTGATGATTTGATCAAATTGGGACCCAGGCTTAGACTTATTGAATAAGATCCATTGGTCTCACTATTTCAAACTTTCATTCATTGGATGACTATTTACTAAGTCCCTGGTATGTGTCAGACTGTGGTTGTCTGCTGGTGCTTGTATCCCAGGCATGGTGAAGGATGTCTAAGAGGTGCATTCTTAGTGGACATGGCAAAGTGTGATCTCACAAATTTTATTAGCTGTCCACACAGTGGAGAATTCAAGGTTCTATTTTCAGACTTGTCAGAGAAGTAGATAGGCTTGTCATGAGAGTGGCAAGTAGTAATTTGTAACCTTCTGTTGGAGAGGAAAAGGCAGCAAGTCAGTGACAATGCTCGTATAATGGCGTCAACACTATGGTGTCATCTTCTAAGTGGAATCATATTGTCGACACTAACAAGTAGAGATAAAAGCAAATTGCAATTATAGTTAACACTTAAGTAGCACTTAGTATGTACCAGGCATTGTTTAAATTTTTTGCCTGTATTAGCTCAATATTTGCAATAACCATATGAAGTAGGTTATATAATCATGGTCTGTATCAGTTATTTTTAAAATACTTTAAAAAAGTTTAATTGTGATTAAAAACACATAACATAAAATTTAAAACACATCTTAACCATTTTCAAGTATAGAATTCAATGGTGTTAAGTACATTCACAACAGTACATTGTGCAACAGATCTCCAGAAATTTTTCATCTTGTAAAACTGACACTCTATACCCATTGAAAAAAAACTGCCCATTTTTCCCTCCCTCCAGCCACTGGAAACCTCTATTATACTTTGTGTTTCTATGAGTTTGACTGGAAAATGTGAAATGATCCATGTTTTTGTTCACCGATTCTTTCTTCTGCTTGGTTGAGTCTGTTATTGATGTCCTCCATTAAATTCTTCAGGTCAGTCTATATTCTTCAGGCTAGGATTTCTGTTTGTTTGATTATTTCTCTTTCTTTGTTGAACTTCTCATTTTATTCATGCATTGTTTTCCTAATTTCATTTAATTGTGTGTTCTTATAGTTCGCTGACCATCTTTAAGAGGATCATTCTGATTTTTTTTTAGTTCATAGATCTCCATTTCTTTACATTCAGTTATTGGAGCTTTATTAGTTTCCTTTGGTAGTGTTATTTACCTAATTTTCATGACCTTGATTCTTTGAGTTGGTATCTGCACATTTGAGCAGGTGGTCTCCATTTCTATACTTTACAGGTTTGCTTTAGCAAGGAAAGACAGCTCAGCTCCATTGGGGTACCAGATGGGTCAGCTGGCAGCATCTGTGGGCAGGTGGGGCTTCCTCCAAGTCTCTAATCACTTCTGTGCTCTGAGGTCAGAGGGACTGTCCCTTGCTGGGCTCTTTGATTGGGCAGCGCTACAGGCTAGGATCTGGAATTGTTCATGTTTGAATGAGGTCTCGGGCTATGCTCCCTGACCAGATGGTACTATTGGCTAGATCCGGTGTTCATGCAGCATTGTAGGCAAGGCTTTGTGATTGGGTGGGGCCTCGGCCTATGCCTTGTGATTAGGTGGGCCCACAGAGTGTACTCCCAAATTGGGCTGGGTAACTGTTTGGTCTCCCTGATCAGATAGGACTGCAGGCTGTGCCCAGGATTGGGTGGGGTCACTGGCTCGGCTCCCTGGCAGGATAGGGCTGAAGGCTGTGTTCAGAAGTTGAGCAGTTCTGCAGGCTGAACTCTGCTAAGGGTGGGCTTGTAGGCTGGGTTCCCTGGCTGGGTGATACCAAGGACTGGGCTTTGAGGCTTCCTAGGGTCACTATTCAGGGTCCCTGGTTATATGGGGCCATGGTGAACTATCAGGGGGAAAGGCTGCTGGCTTGGGTTCCTGCATAAACAGGGCTGTAGGATGGGCCTCAGGGATATCTGGGGTCTCTGGTTGGGTGGGGCTGGGGGCTGTACTCAGCAGTTGGGTGGAGCTGTGAATTTT